AAAAGGGCCGATGAAACGGGGAGCAAGTTTTCTGGGTGTGTCTTTTARATGGATGTCTCGTGTGGATAACCATACCTTTTGTTCTACCTTATAGGAAGGGGCAGAGGATCGATGGCGGTCAGCAAATCGCTTGTTCTGTTTGGATGTCCTCATGAGTGCCCGGTTGGTCTGGTTCCAAATACGGCGGCAACGGCGGATGTGGGCTTGCACAGACGGTACCAAGACCTCTTTTTCCACACTAGGAAATAGAGGAGGGTTGTAGCCAAGGGAGGCTTCGAAGGGAGAAAAACCAGTTGCAGAAGAGGTATGACAATTGTGTGAATATTCAATCCAAGGAAGGTGTTTGCACCAAGAAGAAGGGTTATCTTCTATAACACATCTGATAGCAGATTCTAGTTCCTGATTRCATCTTTCACTCTGTCCATTTGATTGAGGATGATAACCGGAAGACAGACTGACCTTAGCGCCAAGAGAGTTGCAGAAGGCTTTCCAAACTTGTGAGGAAAACTGAGGACCTCTATCGGAGACAATGTCCAGAGGGATGCCATGAAGTCGGAAAACGTGATGGACCAGAAGTTGAGCTGTTTCAAGGGCGCTGGGTAGTTTAACCAATGGAACGAAGTGTGCTGCTTTAGAGAAACGGTCAATTATTGTGAGTATAACAGTATTACCTTCCGATGGTGGCAGTCCGGTAACAAAATCCAGTGCGATATGCGACCAAGGACGTGCTGGGGTAGGTAATGGTTGTAGAAGACCGGCTGGAGGTTTATTGTTGTTTTTGTTCTGTGCGCAAACTGGACAGGCTGAAACAAAATGGATTATGTCATTGTTGAGGGTTGGCCACCAGAAATACCTCTTTGTGAAAGACAACATGCGTGTGGTGCCAGGGTGACAGGTGAAACGATGGTTGTGGATCCAATCCAAAACTTTGGGGATAGCAGACTTGGGGACATAACGGACTCCAGGTGGTCCGGTACCTGGATCAGGATCGGACTGAAGAGCCAGCTGGAGGGTGTTCTCAATGTCCCAGGTAAGTGTTCCTATGAAACATGAGGAAGGAAGAATATGGTGAGTAGTATCGCTTGTAGAGGATGATGAGAACTGCCTGGAGAGTGCRTCYGGTTTAACGTTCCTAGAGCCGGGTCTGTAAGAGATGGTGAAGTTAAAGCGGGCAAAAAACAACGACCACCGAGCTTGTCTGGGGTTTAGTCTCTTGGCATCTTGCAGGTAAGACAGGTTCTTGTGGTCAGTCCATATCAGAAAAGGTTGTTCTGCTCCTTCTAGCCAGTGCCTCCATTCCTCTAGAGCGAGCTTTATGGCTAGCAACTCTCTGTTTCCCACATCATAGTTCTGTTCGGAGGGTGATAGCCGACGAGAAAAAAAGGCGCAGGGGTGAGTCTTATTGTCTTTAACTGATCTTTGGGACAGCACAGCTCCAACACCCAGATCAGARGCGTCCACTTCCAGAATGAATTGTTTGGTGGGATCAGGATGACTCAGAATAGGAGCTGAAGTAAACAAGGCTTTTAACTCACCAAACGCTCTGTCTGCCTCAGGAGTCCAGGAGAATGTCCTAAGAGTAGAGGTGAGTTGAGTTAAAGGTGCGGCGACTTGACTGTAGTTCCGGATGAACCTCCGGTAGAAGTTGGCGAATCCCAGGAACCGCTGTAACTGCTTACGGTCGGTAGGTGTAGGCCAATCAGCGACTGCAGAGACTCTCAGGATCGGTACGGAACTGACCTCTTTCAAAAATGAAACCCAAAAAAGAGACGGATGAAACGTGGAACTCACATTTTTCTGCTTTCACGAATAATTGGTTTTCATGTAGTCTTTGAAGAACTAGCCTGACATGTTCCACATGTTGAGTCTGGTCGCGGGAGTAAATGAGAATGTCGTCCAAATAAACAAAAACAAAATCATCTAGAAAATCTCTGAGTACATCATTGATAAGAGCTTGGAAGACGGCGGGTGCGTTGGTTAGGCCAAATGGCATGACCAGATATTCAAAATGACCTAATGGAGTTTTAAACGCCGTCTTCCACTCATCTCCCTCTCTAATGCGGACCAAGTGGTACGCATTCCTGAGATCCAGCTTAGAAAATACTTTAGCTGAATGTAACTGATCATGAACTGAATCGATGAGTGGGAGTGGGTATTTATTTTTAATGGTGATTAAGTTTAAACCTCTGTAGTCAATGCACGGACGGAGTGATTTGTCTTTTTTATCCACAAAGAAAAAGCCTGCTCCTAGGGGGGAGGTTGAAGGACGAATGATCCCTGAAGCTAATGATTCATTAATATAAGTCTTCATAGACTCTTTTTCTGGACCAGACAGGTTATACAAGCGGCTGGATGGAAGTGGGGCACCAGGTAATAGTTCTATTGCACAATCATATGGACGGTGAGGAGGTAAGGATAGAGCTTTTTGTTTACTGAACACTGCAGACAAATCGTGATATTCTTCAGGAATCTTAGAAAGATCTACTTCTTCAGGTGTTTTGTTTTCTTTAACGGAAACAGACAATGCAGTTTTTAAGCAGTTTAACGAGCAGTGTTTACTCCATGAGTTAATACGTCTTTCCTTCCAGTTGATGTCAGGGTTATGTTTTTCTAACCATGGAAAACCAAAAATGAGTTGAGGTGAAGAAGAATCAAAAACTAGGAACTCACCAAACTCGTGATGGTTGCCTGAGACGATAACATGCAGTTTGTTGATTTTATGGGTGATTTGAGTAAGTAGTTGTCCAGTTACTCCTGCAATGGCCCTGGGGTTCTGGAGAGGAGATGAGGTGAGTTGAAGTTGTTCAACCAAATCACTGGAAATTAAGTTCTGTTCAGCCCCAGAGTCCACCAGCGCCGATATCGGAAGAGTAATTCCTTCATGAACAATAGTGGCC